CCACAGAAACCTTCTCCCCAAGCTCTTGATTTGAATTTGATGTTTTTCAATATCTTAGTTGAATAACTCAAAACAAGAGAGGATGAGGAGGATGTCACCCATAGAATTAGAGTAAGATGGGCACATTGGAGAGCTACATCTAGAGACTTATGTAGTAGATGAGAGACTTATGTAGTAGATGATTACCATTTTGATTAAAAAGAAAGTTCTATAAATCAGTTAGCTAGCTATGCTATACAGAGCAAAGCATCGGGCAGCCAAAATACATGTCCAACAAAATGAGTGAAGCATAAATGTGTAAGAAAGCATTTTAATTAAGCCATTCTTTATTTCCAACACCATGTGACCAACTAAATCTCTATTTACAAGAGAAACTGGGTCAAATGGCAAAGAGTAGAAACTTTGGGAAACAGTTTACCAAGAGATCAAGGATCAATGATTAAAGCTTGAATACTTCAAAAAGACTGATGAGTTTGGGTCCAAGTTTTGTGGTGTGCTATTCTTCATTTTCCTTTGGTAGTCAGCATTGCAAGTAGTGCCTATAGTGGAAATTAGAGTGCATGAACTAAATTTTGAGAAAGGAGTTTGTATATTTAATGCAGTGTTAATGCTATTTTTATTACTATTATTATTGTTGTTGTCATCGCTATTGTTCCTTTGATTGGTGCTTTTCGTTCTTTACTATTATTGCTGATCTACATTCCAAGTTAATGAAGAGCAAGTTAGCATGTGTTTGGAACCATGGGCATTTATTGAATTAACATTGCCACATAGGCACCACTACAGCATTTTCCCATTATGTGGATCTGTACGCATAGAGACTTGCAAAAGCAAATCTTGATTTATGTGCACGCCTATTGTTGGGGCAAGCTTCATTTTAGTGCCTCACCCAACGGATAGGCATTTATTCACTGTTTTGCTGATGTGGTGCCTAATAGCGCCCAAGTAAATTTCATTTCCATAGTTTTATTATTTTTGGTAATAAAGAAAAAAAATCTAAAAGAAATAAGCAGAGGAGATATGTCAAACCAAAATTTTATGTTTTATTATTGTTGATTACATTTCAGTTTTTCTATAGGAGATCAAACATAATTCATAAGACTCCAATCATTCAAAAATTCCTTTTTTTCACTTTTGTACTATAAGAACCACTAAAAACAACAAACAAGTAAATACCAACTAAAACTATGGTCATAAAATAAAATTTGAATCTCTTTGTCAAAGATTAAGAGAATTTGAGAGGTTTTATGATATGATAAGAGGATGGGAGAAAGGATGGGTTAGGCCTAACCCGAAGTCAACAGTAAATTATTTTATTGAGATGATATGCAATATCCATTAATTAATGTTAATATAAATAAATAGTTGTATAAAATTAAAAGTTTTAAGCAAGCCAAGGCAAAGAAAACAACTAATCTTTGTAATAGAAAACCAATAATTCACTTTCTCAATGACATTGATTTAATTAATATTTTAGACATACCTCAGCATGATAGGTTAAAAAAACCAAGGTCTCACTAAAATGCCTTGACCATATCATCCACACTAATTTTCCTAGTCTTAACTTTTTAAAAGGTAAATAAAAAAGAAATTTATTAAAATACAAAAAAGAGAGAGGATAAGAGAAGAAGAACCTATAGAATCCAAACCCAATCACCATAACCTGAAACAACACCAGACTTTCATCCTCCCCAGTCATGGAATTCCCATAGAAAAACCATCAAATGGTGAGAAAACCAAACCTTTCGCAACTTTTCCACCTCTCCCTCCCCTGCCCTTGCCCCTCACACTCTTAAAACCTCTTCCCCTTCCTTTTGTTAGAACATCCACATAGACATCCATTAAATCGTTCAATTACCTTATATTTACTAAAGCAGAGAGAAAACTACAAATAGTAGAATTAAAAATAAACATTGATGGGAATTTAGGACTAGCACCAATAGGAGATTAAATTGGAGAAGGCTAGTACAGTTTGTGAGTGTGCATCAAAAACCACTTGGGCTAGTAAGAAATGGTTTGATGCAAATAGTTGGTTTTAAGCCACAGACAAAAATCGTTTTGTTACCATGCACAACTGTGGGCACTGAAACAAAAATCGTTTTGCACATTGTTTAAAATTAATAGTTTTTGTTAAGTGGATCATCAAAAAATACCCCTTGGTGCCATCAAGGAGAAAAGGGCGTCTAAAGCAAGAATATATTCAAAATTTCCAAAGAATATCCTTGAGTGATCAACAGCATGCTCTTGAGCCAAGCTTTCCACTGATTTGCATCAGTAGCATCCTAATTCATGATTGAAGCAAGATAAGGGCAACAAATGCATCAGCTGTTACAGTTTATATTAACTTCATTTGTTCCTTGATATTGGGGTTGAGTGTACAAGAGTACAAAAAGAATGATAACAACTTGACATCATCAACTATTCGCTTCTATCTTCTCCTAAATGATCACTTTATTTGAAGTAGATCAAGGTACATAATTCTGTTTATCAAGGTTGAATGTTGCATCAAAAAGACCAAGCCATATGTTAAGTTAATCTTATGTCACGTTGATTTCTACGATAAATGTTATGATGGAAGAGCATGTGGTTCCACTCATAATAGCTGTTGCTATTGCAACTAAATTGCATCTTGAAACAAAAATTTGCCACTTCCAAAATCTCCAGGTCCATTGTAACCTTAAATGCTACATTAAAAGATAACACTAAAAGATAAACAAATAACTAAAAACCATACTTGAAAACTCAAAATTTGTTGACAATCACCACCCAGGGAAAAAAGTTAAGATGAGTGAAAAATACCTAGGCCCCCTTTTCTATGAACCAAGTAGAAATTTTGCCTTATTTGAAACTGTATCATTATTAATTTTTTTTATCAATTAGATGATTATTAATTTTTAAGTTGTCTAAATTGCAAAACAAAATAGAGCTGAAATAATCTCTTCTTTTTTCTTGATGGATAAAGAGAACTGTAATAAACCTAGAACCAGTTAACAAACTTCCATGTTAAATAGCAAAGTAGTCAATGGTTAGGGAATTTTACCAAATATCTTCATAATCTTTCTTTTCAAATTGTTTCTTACCATATGCTGATCTCTATATACATATAGATAGATAGATAGATATAACTTGATAACTAACTCTCTAAAACTATCACTGATTAGTTGAGACAAATAAAAAAGAAACATCAAACCTTATTCATCAAGAATATCCATCTACCTTAAAAAAATTCCCTTAATGCCTTGAGGAGTAAGGAGATTCTAGTTTCTACACAACTTCCCGTATTTGATTCAGAAGGGAAAAAACAAGGTCACTACTCAATTTTGGTGCACGGAAATCCTGGGACTTGGGAGGGTGCACTGGAACAAGGTCACTACTCAATTATGATGAATCTCAAATTAATTAAGATGCAACAAACTAACGCTAGAACTAAACAAAGAAAACTCAAACGTTACAAGTCAGGTGATGATTGTGGCATAGTTATTCCTACGTTTTCTTTGTACCAATTAGTTACGATTGACCTTTAGATAACCTTTATGATATATTGTACTTTAAACTAATTAAGAATTGCGTATTTTTATTTTTAGTTTTATAAATCATTTCTTAGTGGTTTCTTTCTAAAATGGTTCTCCTTTTTGTCTTTTCTTTGTTTGCATTAGAAAAAAGTAGCGTCTAGAATTTTTCTAATTTCTATTTTAAATTTCAACTCTAGTAATCTAAGTTAGTGGGCATATTAAAAAAAAAAGAAAAAAATGTATCGAAGAAAAAAGAGAAAAAAGAGAGTGATGATATCAGTGGAACTTGATACTGTTTTCTGTTGAGCTGTAGGTCCACAATTGCTCCATGATATTTGTTTTAATCCACTAATGATATTAGTGGATTAATACTGTTTACTGAAGTTCTATTTGTAACAATGATATAAGAATTCCATGTGAATAAACATTTTGCATGGTAAATCTCAGATAGTGTGTCGCCATTGTTGTAAGACAGTAGTTGGGACAGAAGATGTTACGATGGTGTCTCCAACAATACAAGAAGATGAAGATGGTGAAATATAATCTTAATATTTCAAACTTTGGACCATGTGATACCACCATAGATCACCGTCTAACCAAGCTGGTTTATTCCCAGATGAAGATGAAGCCATTGTTATTGTTGTGAAAAACCCATCAACTAAAGCAGTCAGATGTATATCGTCCAAATCTACAGTCTCAACATTTGAAGTTCCAAATGGTGATGTGGGTATAAATCAGACAATACAGCATTGCATGCATACGCAACGTATCAGATACCAATGAATCAACAATTCTAAGTCTCATTAAATCAAGCACCAAGAAGTGATAAGAGTTGTGCCAACTCCTTTCCATAAATTCCACATATATAAAGGCCTGAAGGATCCGACTACGAGGACCCAGATTTTTAAAACAATAGCGTTTCTATGACTGGCTGGATATAAATGGAGTAAGACACAGATATGGATAGCTAAACGCTAGCTCTAGTCAATGAAGAAATAAATCACTTTGTCCCCTACTACTAGACGCCAGACCGAAGGTCCCTGCAGCTATAAATGGGCAGATTGTACCTCTCAACAATTTATTTATTGGTTGTAATAAAAGGAAAAGAGAAACTCAGTTTCCCTCGTTCTTCCCTCCTCTTCTTATTGATCTTTAGTCCCAACAATAGAGGAGTAGGCTCTTATCTTAGCTGGCAGTCTCACAAAAGTACTAGTCAAGCTCCTTACAGTCTATAGTATGAGACTGTCTTGCACCATTTAAAGTACCTGTCTAACTATCTTTAGCCTGGTAATTACCTACTGACTCAAACTTATTAGCCCTAGAAAAAGGTGAGGGATGATGTAAACCGGAGCAGCAGGACATACAAATAAACCCACACTCATTACGGAATTCATTATCTGTTATTTTGTACTTGTGAATATCCTAAATGCTTGAACATCAACACACATTCTCCAGAATGCTGGTTATGTAGTACATTTTCCTCAGAACTTCATGCATGCAATGGAGAAACCCTTTTCAGTTGCATCTATCAAACTATCATTGCTTGTGATGGTTAGATTCGAACTACCATAGTCTATACACCCACCACTGTTGTAAATAAAGTAATAAACTACAGAGAAACCATAACCAAGAGAATCAAATGCATGAAATCACTGTGTATTAACCACCTAAAAGGATCCAACAGCAAGGTGGGCAGTCCAGAAAAGTGTTCACAACAACGTAGGGGTTCTTACCTCGTCAAAAAAATGAGGTGAGGTCTTCCATTTTCTTTTGAGGCTTGAGCCTAAAGTTACCTCGTCAAAAAAATGAGGTGAGGTCTTCCATTTTCTTTTGAGGCTTGAGCCTAAAGTTTAATACCCAGAAAGAAAGACGACAACATCATTGCCTCATTTTTGCCTTCAAATGGCAACGATCCCAGTTTCTTCAGATTCATCCAATAATGTGGAGACCGGAGAGGATACAGGAGACCAAGTTTCTGTATAGAAAGATGAAGCTTGTCATCAATAAAGCAAGTTCTGAAATCTTCAAATGAGGGATAACTCAGAACCCGATCTGAAGTTGATAAGAACTGCAGGAAATAATACTTTTCAAGAATGTAACCATGAAGCACCAACACCAACACGGCTTCTAGTCTAGATATCTACTGATCAGTAGAAATAATATGCTCAACGAAAATAACATGCAATATGGATTCATAGGTTGGCGTTAGCATAAGAAAGTAATCACTTAAGAAAAGAAAAAAAAAAAATAGCTTAGAACCGAAGATACCGACCAGGATTATATATAACAGGAGAAGAACGACATAAAATGGAACAGGAGCTCGGAAATGAAAAGGTGTAACAAGATCTTACCTATTAAATAGCTTACACTTCTATGAGAGCATGTCCATGGCTGGAACCTCGATTTGAATATCATACCCATCTGCTCACAAGCGGCTAATATATATAAAGAAACAACGAGAGAGGCCGAAGAACCAAAATGGAGAGTTTAAAAGAAAACTGCAAGAGTGGACAAAGAACCAAAGTGGAAAATCTCCATATCTACGACCATCCACCATGAGCAGCTTCCCGAGATCTAATCGTCTTTCAAGCAGGCCATGATAATGGAAACAGATCCCCACCAAAGAAAGACAAAAAACCGTTGTTTCTTCAGAACTACGGCTCAAATCTGCAGATCGACCAGGACCCATTTGCACTCCGAGTGCAAGCATCCAGATTCCGGCCAGATCCGGTGAAAAACGAACTCCAATGACCAGCGAATCATCAGTCGCATGCGCACGAAATAAAAAAGAAGAATGGTTAATAAAGAACGAAAACTAAGAGAAAACAAAATTGATGAACTGGTCCATACGGTTTTCGTTAAATCCACACAGTGAACAGGCGTACCTTCTGCGGTTAGCCACTTCGTTCGTCCTCTACTAGAGTACCATCAAAAGTCACGCTTTCAAGCCTTCAACGAAACTTAAAAATGATTAAAAAACGAACTAATTCACTGTTTCACAAATATAATAACTAATACCAAGACCAACAAATTAAAACCTGCATGGTCAATTGATCTCGATTTCGCTACCAGAAAATAAACGCAAAGGTAAACAGATCTTCCTTTCTTCTTCACCCTTAGCACCGACCCGTAAAGAAGGTAAGGAGAACATGACAGACTGAAAGTGGAAGAGACAGACAAGATAAGATTAGAAGCGAGCGAACGATAAGACTGCTTGATGTGTCGTTACCTTGCTATCTTTTCCTCTTTCTCCCATTTATTTTAACCTTTTCATTTTCCCTTTTCCTGGACAGACGACAGGCAGATGGAGAGAGAGAGAGAGAGAAGGAAAGCAAAAAAAAAATCATATGGGACTGCATCACCAGGCCGGGAAACGACCAGAGAGGCCGGATTCCGGCACCGGAAGCTGACAGAAAGAGAAGTGAGCACGCACCGGCAACAGCATACCATTATACAATTGTCTGTGTGTGCTCACTCTCTTCTGTCAGTCTCTAGCGTCCCAGAAAAAATAAACCCGGAAAAGCTTTCCCAGAATGGAAATAAATAACCATCAAAAGAGTCAGATCTGGAGAAACAGAGACACCCATTTACGGAAAGGTATCAGAAGCCGTGAAACTCACGAACTCAATTGCACTCCTCCTTTTAAGACGAGAGGACGATTTTAGGGTTTATGTAGACGAATCCACGAAGCCCTTTTTGTGTCTCGTGAGTTCTCTCCCTCTCTTCTTTTCTTTCCATTTTTTTTTTTTTTAATTTTCTCTCTCTCTCTACCTTTGTAAGTAATTAGTGATTAGTCTATCTATTTCCCAATTCCCATGCAACCGCACACGTGTCGATGGCACGTACCCTGAAAGAATTTGAACCACTGCAGAACTTCCGGTGAAGGGGTAGATAAACTGATAAGGGTTTTTACAGAAGGCAAGCGAGAGAGAGAGAGAGAGGTGATGAGGCTGCTGCGTGCGCTGCTTTCATATCACTCGTTTTGGCAGAGGCAGAGAGACAAAAGAATACACGGAGCCCTTCGGGAAGCGAAACGGGCCTGTGTAGGGAGGATTGGTTGGCTGGGATCGTCTGGCTACGTGTTCCTTAAAATGCGATTGACTTTTCATTATATTTGCAACCCTTGATTTGACTGGTGCAGAGGACTTATGGCCATTGATTGACATGAAAGGGGACCCGCTGTCGGTGCTGATAGCCCTTATTGGCCTGTGCGGATGGGACTGCGTCAAATGGGGAGACAGGATAAAGACGGGCTCTTTTAAATTCTTTGGTGCATCTATTTATTATTCTACAGTAATGGTTCTGCTGCAGTGTAATGGACTATAGTGAATTGATTACTCTTAGAAGAGGAGAGACACAGACACCCTCACCCATTGGAATGCTGGAATCGGTTTGTGTTATTTTATATTGTGTAGTCCATACTATATCCACGTCGTCTGTATGAAAGAAGAGAGTAGTTAATTACTAGACTCACTCATAGAGATAGAGTGTACCTCCTTACAGGTTCATTAATTACCTCACATACCCCACTTATGGGTTCTCTCTCTCCCCTTTTCTGTTTTCCCTTTTGCGGTGGGAGAGAGAAGGGTTAAGAATGTTCATCATTTCTCTATCTTTCTCTCTCAAATAACCATGAAGCTAATTGTTTTAAACGTGTTCTATTCATTGGAAGTAATGAGGAAGTGGTACAGTAAATGAGAAACTGGTGGTACACATTTGTCATATCTAGAACATTTACTACACTAACTTCAATCTAATTGGATGCTCTCAACCACCTGTGAAGAGGCAGATCAGGGTGTGTTTATAAGAGCAAAGTATATAGTATAATCAAGGTTCAAAATATCTTGGTAAACGTGTATTGGGTTATATCGATTTTTTTTTTAATTTGATTCAGAGGGATCAGTTTAAAGTCCATCTATCTCCTAAACTAATCAAAACCCTAATACACTCTATATAGGGACATATCGAGAAACTCCCGATAATGATAAATATCAGTCTTTATAACAAAGATTGTTTCATAAATGGACCATATATAACAAAGATTGTTTCATAAAATTGACTCTCAAGTACGAAAGTCTTTTGTGTCCCAAGCTGTGGGGTCCATATATAATTCATCTATTCAGTCATTCAATAAGCTTTGTTAAGGTTCTTTTACCATAGGGTCCCTATACCATGTAATGCTTATTTGACTAAATGACTAGTCGACCCAAGATCCATATACATTGGCATATAATGTCTGGTGGGAAAAGACAAAGTGTTTCATTACAAAAGTTCTATCAACATAAAATAAAATAATGCTAAAATGGAAACGTAAAAATAACGCTACCCTCAAGTCTGTTGGGCTTTTTCATAATTTTTCATTACTATATTTCCCTCATTTTCTTTTTTTTTTTCCTTTTTCGTGAATTTTTAATATGTGGGATCTGTAGAATGGAGAGAGAGAAAAAAAATCAGCAAATGGGAAAGTATAGCCTTTAACTTTAACCAAATATTATAGAAAAGGTGGGTAAATTAATCTATATATATCCACCTAGGTTAAAGTGATTTCTAGTTATGTCAACCTCTTCTTTCACTAGTTTTATATTCGATCTATTTGGTTTGGTGGGAATCAAAATTAAGCCAACAAGTGAATTCAAGTGATTTTCATTTCTTGTGTTTGTCTAAACACAACAAAAACCATTTTCCAATATTGTTTACAATGGCCCCAGCAGAAAAAAAAATGTCCATGAATGCTGACAAACTACTCAGAGGGGAGGCACCAGAAGTCTGGATGTAGAAGGCTTTAACAGGGCAGAATTGTGACTGATTTATCAAATTAGGATGTGCCCATATCAAATTACTTCAAGCTAGCTATAAGTTTAAAAAATTAATCAAGTCAATGGATCCAATTGGAATAGGTTAGTATTTCCCATGTTGACTGGTTGATGTACAGCTTATGGATATAAGAACCAAACCCTTTTTTGCTTTTTTTTTTTTGAGCTCCTGTATAAAAAAAGAATTTCATCACAAGGGGTCCATGTGAAAATGAAGTCATCTTCACAGAAGCACTAAGTCATCTTATTCCAATGGGCTCCAACTTGTGTAGCGAGAGGTGCATGAGAATGTACAAATAGGTACTGTATTATTGTGCTTGAACTTCGAAACAGTATTGCGTCTGGCGTTTATTGTGGGAAATATTCACATAGTCAAAGTGCTTTGGTACCTTTCTGTCCTACTCAAAGTACTCAGCACCAATCCCACTCTGAATTTACTCCAAAGTTGTATTTTCAAAAGCATTTTTCTGCGCTTTTCACTCATCATGAGAAGAAAGTTAGACCCTTATCATCTCGGCCCCCTCTTGTTGGGGAAGGAGAGGTCATCCAAGCAATTGATTGGATAGGGTCCATAGGGATTCCCTTATTAGCAACCTATACCTATGTATCCTTTACCAAGAAACCCGCTAGATATCCTCCATAAGCTACACAACAATTAAGCAGGGTTGGGGGATGTCAACTGATGACCCATCACAATATTCATCCATATATATATAGCTCCAAGAGTAAGTAAGTAAAATTTTTATTCATATTTTGTGTGAAACCCTTTGTATATATGAAGAAACTTACTTAAGATTTCTTATTAAATAAAACAAGTTTTTTCATTGATAAAAAGTGTTACCCAATTAGCTAGTCTTAATTTGTATATCCTTCTCTCTATATGGGGGGCTACAATTTTTATCTTGCTCAATATGGTCAGGCCAAACAACAAGGTGGCCTTATCCTTTATCTAGACACAACAATGTTTCAGAGTGTTATCTTTTCACACGCAACAACAACCAAACAGCCCATGTGTACCACTATCGTTCTCTATTGACCCATAAAATTTGAGCTTATGGGTCTTTTACCATGTGCAAGGAAAAATCTTTTGTTTTTCTCAGTGTTGTCAGACCTGGATCAGATAGGACAGTCAAATGGTGAATTCCTAACACTCTGAGCCTTCTGGGTCTCAATCTTTATGACAATTTTTACAAGCTGAACGATTAAACCTCCTCCGGTGATCCGATCAGCTTAATTTCTGGTTTCCAGTCCAATCCAATCTGGGTTCCAGAACACACTGTTTGGTTTATATTTGTTTATTTATTTAGAAATTTTATATGGTTAAGCATGCTGCATAAACAGACAGAACCAACCTTATTTGGGCTTGGACCACTAAGTATTTGAATTTGATGAGGGAAACAAATTAAGAGCTAGAGTCATATTGTTGCAAGCCAAATTCAATTCTGTTTTTTGGTGTTCATCATCTGCCTCCTCTGCACAAAAATAAGCACTCTGACTGATCCCCACAGAAAACCGCCACCCACCAAGTGTCCGTTAGAGACAATGAATTTTAATTTGGGTTTCCAAAGTTAATGGGCACAAGAAGCTTACGCACTTGCTCTTGGTGGATCAAGGAAAAAGCTCTTAATCCCATGTAATTAACAATAAGATTAATATAATGCAAAGTTCTGGGTCAAAAGAAACCTTCATGGGATTCTCAACAAATGCATATATAAACATCTAAAAACCAGTAAACAATTGCAGAATCATTGATACATCACCTTTATTGGATTAAAGCATCGTTTGTGTGGCGCAAAATCCTAAAACAACCTAGCTTTTGATCCAATTTAGATACTGAACACTGTTACGGACATATGTATTAAATTAAATTAATTTGGAGGGGGAGGGACCATCTAATTTAATAGCAACGGAGGAGGGACCATTTAATATTTTAGTGAGAAATTGTTTTAGATGTACGCGTGGAGGGGGGAGGGAGGAGGGAGTCAAAACTCCAAAAACTGTAGAGATTCTAAATCTCAATTGATTGATTATTTTGTTTATTTATTACACAAAGTGTGCAACACAACACTCCTCCCTTAGTCCCTTAGCCATTCCAGAGAAGAGACCGTACCTGCAGGGAGATGTGGTAAGTTTGTTGAAAGCTTTTAATATGGCGTAGGGATTTGTTTGCCGCTTCGGGCGCCCGGACTCGCGGAAGGGGGAGATCCGGCCAACCATATATAAAAACAACTTTATAGAACAGAAGAAAAGCAAGAGAAAAGCTGATCAGGCCATCAGAGCGGATGTGGATCGGAATTAGATAAAGAGGAACCAAGCTCGAAATGTGGGGTTGGTACACGTGGGAGCAACTTTGGTTGAGAGAATAGATTAATGGGGTTTTCATTGATTCTGCCCAACTTTAGTGTTAGGCATGTA